TACACAAAAACCACTACTTAAATTAAAAAATAAATAAATTGGTGTTTATATTCAAATAATAGAAGCGAAACACTTCACATATAAGCTCGTGATTTTTGTTGGGTTTGGTGGATAATGATAGGAAAAAATAAAACTTCTTAATGTGGCCTTATTTGGGACAGTTACCTTAAACCTATTGAATTTTATATGATTAAAATCAGCAAAAACATAGCTTTTCAATGAGTTTATTAATATATTGTTCGTCGATTTTTAACTGACACTAGTGACACTTTCCCTATGAGGAGCGAGGGGTTGGGTGTTTCATGTGGCAAAAACAGGTGTGATGTCAGGTAACCATTGGCGTTCTAATGTAGGGAGCCACCAGCTCACATTCCGTCCGAGTATCAGATTAAAATCGACGGACAACACATTTATTTATTTATTTATTTACGGGAAAACTCCATTAACTGTTAAAATACAATTTAAGAAAAAATATAAAGAATAAAGCATAAGTTAGGTACTATATTATAACTATAACTACATAAATAATAAATATTATTTAACTACAAAAATTAATACTACACAATAAAATAAAACATATTAAAGACGTCTTTTTGATCATGAAACTGTTTCAAACCCGGTTCAAAACTGTTTCGATTGCTACGTCATCAATTTGGAGTGTCACAAAAATGCACGATTTTGAAACAGATCACCTGACACTCGTTGACATCTAAAAATTGTCAGGTTATGTTTTTTGTTTTCTTTTGACTTGCTACCTCTTTGAGTATTTCATTAGTTTTTTTCGAGGTTTTTTTGATTTTACGTGCTATCGTTGTTAATTGTGCTAGTTTGTGAAGAAAAAATAATATGGAGGAACTACTTCCAATTATTCTTTTATTAATCAATAGACAATATCATTATCTTTCTTTCTACCTGCAATTAGCTCAATTATTCGATTTAGATGAGCAAGCTGTTGCAAACGTGTTGTTAGTTCTTGGAACTACACACCACTATAAATTAAAAGTAGAAACTTGGATTGATAAATACCTGGAATATGATTTTTTTAAATTATTCAGAATGACCCAAGAATCCTTCAACATTCTGTTGAATAAAATAAATGGTCCAGATATAGTTGTACGTTTCCGGGGGGGTACAGAACCAACTCCTGCCCATACACAATTATTGATGACTCTATGGTGGCTGGGAAAGGGGGATACTTTGATTAGCATTGCAGAACACTTCTCAGTAGCAGAATCGACAGTGTTTTTTTCTACAGAGAAAATATTAGAAAAACTTGTTGCACTGAGATATCAGTATATAGTTTGGCCATCGAAAGAAGAAATCCCTCTAATCGCAGAACAGTTCCAATTAAGAAGCAGGGGTTTTCCAGGTAAGACAAGTTTTTGAAACAGTATACTGTAGATACCTATTGATTCCATGTTGCATTTTTAAGTCTATGCAAGGACAATATTACAAGTAGTGTTTTTTCTCCATGTTAATGCTGCATTTTCTTCATCTTATCAGGAATATTCGTTACAGGTATTGTTGGTGCTATTGATGGTTGCAACATCAGAATTAAGCCACCCAAACATCAGCATGATAGCTATATAGATAGGAATTCAAATTACAGTATTAAGCTACAAGCTGTTTCAACTATTAACAAAGTTATAATAAATATAAATGTTGGGATGCCCGGATCAGTTCATGATAAATAAGGGTAAGTTTGTGCATTCATTTTCTTTCATTTCAATTCTGTTTTGCTATTTAATTTTTAGATGTTTCGGAATTCCTATTTATATCAGGAAGTTACTTCGAACAGAAAATTCAAATATTTTCCTGCAGATTTTTACCATCTCGTTGGTGACAAAGCCTATCCCCTATTGTCATGGTTGATGACCCCTTTCAAGTAAGTAAATATACACGTACCTTGGTAGAAAAAGGGCTGGTGTCAAACATTTGTATGTTGTATCTTCCATTCTGTTTGGTACTTAGACCCAAAATTTGAAAACCAGTGATTCTATAACTATAAATTATAAGAAACTTTTTTTCAGAGACTATGGTAACCTGACGCAGAGAAAAAAAAATTATAATAAAAGCTTGAGCAGGGCTCGCATTATTGTTGAGCATGTGTTTGGATGGCTTAAAGCTAGATGGAGGATTATGAAATTCATCAACACCAACAGTATTGTTAAAACGGTGAAAATCATTGTGGCTTGCTGTGTCCTCCACAATTTTTGTATTTCAAGAGCAGACCTTTGGGAGAATAGTGAAGAAGAGGATGATGAAGTTGATCAAAATGAAGAGGTCCAGGAAGGAGAAAATCTCCAAGCAGGCGTTGTGAAAAGGCATCAAATTGAGATGCTATTTTGATAAGGCACTTATATTGAACAATAATTTATGTATATAATATGTATATATAAAAAAATTGACTATTTTGATTTTGCATCTACAGTGGTCAATACAAAGTTGGACTAAGTGTGGGTATTATAAAACTATTTTGACAGATAACTTAAAGTTATTTTCTGGAATTAGAGATTGTAACGTCATTCCAGAGTTTAACTTTTAGTTATTCTGTCAAAATAGTTTTACAATACCTGCTCTGAATAGAGTACTTTATTTATTAAGTTATTAAAAGATGTATTCCCAATAAATGCTCATATAACTTTTATTAAAAATAAGTTTTTTTGAAGAAATCAAAACATTTCTCCATTTTGATATTGTTTTATAACCAATATTTTTTTTTTTTTGAAAACGACTTTATTGATAAGAATTAATAATAACGACATTTGTTTACAAAATTCTCTAATCAGTGTAAAATCACTGGCCCCGAGAATAGCCACTTAACATTCAGTTTTAGTTTTATTTTCCAAAAGAAATTTATTCTAGGAAATAAATTTATTTTTCTTACATCTAATTGTACATAAGTTATTTAAGTTAGTGTTACTATATCTTGCTCTGTTTTTTTTACAAGCACCTAGAAGTGAAACATCTGTACAATCTGTATGTGCAGTATCAGTGTTTTTTTTTGTATTTTTAGTTTTTATAATTTAAGTTTATTTACGTTAAGAATTATCAGCATTATAAGTGCTGGATGCCTTTTCCAATTTAATAATAAATCAACATAACAAAAGATTATACCTACAAAATCTTAATGATCAAAACTAATCTTAATTTTTTCAACAAATGCATTTTAATTTCCTATGCTTTCGTTTCCATTTGGTAACTTATTGTACGTTTTTGATGCTCTAACTATTGGGTTGTTTAGACCTTACTAAGTGTACTTGTGAGATAATTACTTACTGTTTTGAGATCTAGTTGTATGTTCATGTATATCATTTGCAAATACAATATTTATATTAGTTTTTTGTGTCCTATTTAAAATTTTATACATTTATGTATTCAAATTCTAATAGTTCAAAAATTTTACAAACTTTTAATTCTTTATAAAACCTTTGTGTAGTCGTTTGTCATAATTAGATAATATATTTAAAACTTTATATTGTAACATCTGCACTGCATTTAATTTTGTTAAATTACAAGTACCATGGATGGGCAATAAATATCTTAGGTGAGATAAGAAATATGCATTATATACATATAATTCACTTTTGTGTGACAAATAATATATATGTTTAAATAGGGCTGAAATCATTGGGATCAATTTATTGGTTATATCTTCTATGTGATAACTCCAACTAAGTTTACTATCCAAAAATAATCCCAAATATTTCATTATACTAACCTGTTCTATTACTATATTAATAATAATAATAGTTTATTTTCGAATTGGTAATAAGAATATTTAAATTTTCAGTAACTTTGTTTTTTTTTAAACACCATATAAATACTTCGTTTTTTCTATATTAATTTTCAGTTTATTGCAGTATAACCAGTCCACATAATTCATAAGATCAGCATTAATTTCCTGATTTATTGATTTAGCATCGTTACCTGTATAAACTAATGCTGCATCATTTACGTATATAAAATATCAATTTCACATACTGTCTCCTGCCAACAAGATACGACTTAATAAGATTGTATATAACACCTCAGAATCCCATGTTTCTTAATTTTGTTAACAAAAGTTCAATTTTTACCACATTGAAAGCCTTTTCTAGGTCAACAAAAACTACTACAGCAATTTGGCTAGAATCCAAGGCCCTTGTATGTATCTATCAAAATGTAATGAAATGCATTTTAAGTAAATTAAATCTTTATTTAAGGTCAATCAGTAAACAGAAGCTTAAACCTAATAAATGGGTTATTTTTCAATAACAACAAATAAATCAACAAAAAAATAATATATAGCTTAACTTAAACCTAATATATGGGTTATTTTTGAATAACAACAAATTAACAAAAAAATATAGGTATGTATATAAATAATAATTCCATATCATCGCTGCAACCTAAAATTGCATTGCTTTCTACTTGACATAGGTAGACTATTTTATGTAGAGGGAACTAGTTATGTTTTTAAAGGAAACAGATCAATAAACTAACAGTGAACTAGGACCATCCTAAACGGTTTTCAGCACGTTTATTTTTATTATTTTTGGTTTAGTCCTTGACACTACTTTTCAAATGTATGGTCCTGGTCCTATCTGTTCTAATAAAACGCCTATGTCAGAGGTTCAAAAATAGGCTGCATTGATTATATGAACAAAGAACAAAATAAGTGAGATCAAAAACTTTGGCAAAATAAATTGCATTGTGAATTGAGCTAATCTTAAAATTTTTGATACAATTTAACATCAACAAACTATTAAATAACAAAAGAAACATTTTAAAAAAAAAATATCCAACATTCTACAATTCTGAGAGGGAGGCTTTTTTTAGGAGGATTTCAAGTTCAATGAAAAATATCAATAACTTTTGGAAAATTTGTTTAAGGGCTTCAAAGATTGCAAGTGTGTGATTTTGGCAGGAAAGTTGGAAGTTCTGGAAGAAGTTATTCGTTTTAAGAGATAGATTGAAGAATTAATTTATATAACATTCTTTATAACTAATCCCATTTATGCAGGTTTTCAATAAAATTTTCCTTTCAAACACTCCCCTTTACTACCAGAATAATCTTAAGATTGAGCTTAATAACAGCAAAAATTAATATGATACCTACAATGTTGGATACTACTACAATCTAATCAGTGTCTGAACTACTGTCACGTTTCCGTTTCTTTGTTGGTTTTTTCTGGGCCATAATCCGTAACATTGCCATAACTTCTTCATGTCTCTTCTGAGACTCATCCTTCATAAGCTCCATCATATTGTCAAATTGTTTTATTTTTCTTTCTTCTGATTTTTCTGATAGGTCATAAAATTTTTCATAGAAATCGTTTTTTTTTGGTTTTAAAGTTGTTTTTGCATTTAGAAATTTGTTTTGCAGAATATTAGCTCCTTCTACTTTCTCAGTTTTTTTTTGTTGGGATGAATGCAAGTCAATACTCTTTTCCCCCATTGTACTTTTTACACTGCTTCCCACATCATTGCTGATGGGGTTTTCAATTGGTATACTATCCAATATTAGAACAGGATCAGTTTTATCGGACTTTCCCAAAATGGCATCCATTTCATCAAAAAATGGGGGTTTTTCTATTTTTCCTAAAACAAATTACCTACTAAATATTTATATATCATGTCTTTTCATCTGATATTGTAAGTCATTGCCTCATTATATCTACATTTCGTAACATTTCACAATGGAAAGAAAAAAGGGAAGATGAATTTATAAAGAAAAATAAAAACAGTTTTTTCTACAAACGTCACTAAAAGTGTCATTTTTAACAGATGCTGTCAGTGTCTAAAATACCATTTTATGACACTGGTGTTAAAAGTGATTACTTTTAGCACTAGTGCTAAAAGTAACCACTTTTAGTGCATTTGTAGAAAAAATACTGTATAATATTAGTGCTAAAAGTGATTTTATTTTGTTCAAAGGGATGGAACACTCCGCCTTCGGCGTCGTGTCCCAAACTTCCCTTTTCACAAAATAAAATGTCACTTTTAGCACTTATATCATAAATAACTATTATAGTAACTTCCAAACTGATTATTGATTGACACCCATATTCATCCAAATTCCAATAGTCTGTTCATCTGTTAAAACCATTGAGAATATATAGCAATTATAGGCAGATAAAATGTTGGAAGGTGAATATGGTTGTGAACAAAAAATACAAAAAAAATTGTGAAATGTATGTCAACTATACAATACATCATGCTGAACAAAGAAATATTTAAAAAACGATAACTTGACTGATAAGATTTCATAATATACCTTCTCCAGTTTGACGCCTTCGATCAATATATTTTAAATAAGTCTGTTGCAGGTTTGCAAACTTCTGCCGGCATCGTTCTCTCCCCTCTATGCCATGACCAACAAAATATCCATTGGCATTCATTTTTTCACTAATTTGTTGCCAAAGTGTAGCGTTAGTAGTTTTTTTGTCCCTAAACTTGTCATCCAACTCTTTACGTAGTGACAGGAAAAATGCTGCAGCTTCCACATCTAGCGGTGTCTGATTTTTGGAGGTAGTCCATATTTTTTGTGGAATTCCAGCAGGAGAGTCAATGGTATCAGCTCTATCCAATGCTGATGCAACTGCAACATTGCTTGAACTTGAAGAAGTGCTAGCTTCAGCTTCTGGATATTTCCTTCGTAGTTCATTCAGATAGTTCTGAGCCATTTGTGAATCTGAAAATAACATTTGTAAGGTATAATGTTCTAGTTCAACAAATATGAATAGATATACACTAACCTTTGCATAACATTCTTGCAGTTTCAGAATCAATATTAACAATAAAATTTCCAAGTTGAAATTCTACCATTTCCACGTTTTCTGAGTCCTCATCCATATTCACACAACTAATTTACACTTGATGGTCGATATTGATATATGTTGCTATTATTTGGCACTGTTTACTGCTTAGAGCAAAATAGTAAATGTAAATAATAACAAATAACAAAAGTAACAACAAATGTTTTTGAGGTTATAAATATAGCCAACCCAGGTTTGAAGCGCGCCCAAAGATCGTTTCAAAGCTGGTTGCACCGTTGTCGTGCATGACGTCACTGTTGCAACAGGAAAATGGAGTGTTTCGAACCAGTTTGAAACGGTTTGAAAACATTTCATGATCAAAAAGACGTCTTAAGTACAGCCAAAAATCATCTTTTAAGTAAGTAGGTATTAGTAAAAGTATGTAGGTATTATGAAAAATATCTTGATCTTGATAATGAGTAGTTAACATATGGAAACATATAAAATAGAATTAGGTACAACAAATAATACACAAACCAGAATTGACCCTGTTATACAAAAAATATCACATATTCTTCAGGTACGTTTTTAATTGACCTAGGGTCATATCAAATATATCAATATTTAAGTTATTCATTAATGACATATATCTGTCAATAGGATTATTTTCACCATATGTTGTTCAGTGAAAAGGTATGATAAATGTTGGGTGTTGCCGCAGCCCCCTAGTGGGTACATTAAAACTAACTGAAGAAAGGAGACTTGGACAGTCAATTAACCCATGTACTAATTTGTATATAAATGCTACACCAAAACTATCTCTACGAAGGCCCAGAGGACTCAATGACAATTGTTGTTCTAGTGCTCTATAGTTGTGGTCAGCCATAGCAAAGCCATTTTTAAACGCACACACTCTAAGAAATTTATGTTGCACCCTCTCTAAAGAATCCATATGAATCTGAAAATATGGTGACCGCACCACAGAGCAATATTCCAATGTTGACCTTACCAAGGAGCAGTAGACAACCCTGGTAGCCTCCATAGAGAAGTATTGACAGTTTCTCACGACAAAACCCAACATCTTCGCAGCCCTTACTGCAACCGAATTTATGTGATCAATAAAAGATAATCTCTCGTCTAAAATAACACCCAAATCTTTCACTTTAGACACACACTTCAGAGACTGATTGTTAATAAAGTAACTAGTTTGAATTTTATTTACTTTCCTTGAAAAACTAATATAGCAACATTTATCCACATTCAGAGATAACTTATTTTCTACACACCACACGGACAAGCGATCCAGATCCTCCTGCAGAAGCAACTGGTCCACAATGCTCTCCACCGTTCTCCAAAATTTCAAATCATCTGCAAATTTTGCACACTCACTGCATATAGGCTATTGGAAAAATTCGGACTTTGGTCAATATATCAAAATCGGTGCCAAATAGAAAAAAAATTAGAGCATCATTTGAATTTTGCTTGAAAAAGTACTTCCAGAAAGCTTTTACGAAAATCAATTATTATCAAGTGCAAAGAAAGGATTGAAGAGGATGAAACAATACACAATTGTGACTCCTGCCTGAGACAAATTCATACTCAGTGTGCAAAATTATCACCCTCTGAAGAAAGGTGCATGCCTTTGAAAAAACGAATATTATTGTACATATGTATAGAGTGCAAAGCATTAATAGCTAGAATGCCCTTTATTATGAAAACTTTAGATGAAATTAAACTTGACATCAACCAAATCAAACAAAATCAGAATAACAATGTAACTCCTGGTGGACAGCGTAAAACCTATGCTGATGCATTGGAGCTGAAACCTACTGCAAATACAGAACAAACCATTATTATAAAAGCAAAAAATAAGAAGAATGCCAACAACACAAGAAAACTAATAGAAGAAAAACTTAATCCATCAGCACTTGAAATAGGAATAAAAAAGGTGAGAAGCACAAAAGAGGGAGATGTCATAATCAAATGTCCCACTAAACTTGAAGGAGAAAAATTGAAAACAGCCATGATAAATGAGCTTGCTGACACATGCACAATAGAAACAATTAAAAAGAGACCTACAAGAATAAAGATCACTGGAGTAGATAAGGAGGAAAATAAAAATCACCAAGAAGTTGAAAGAAATCTTAGAAAACAGAATACATGGATTAATGAAGAGGATGAACTAACAGTCACATTTATAAAACCCATGAAAAAAAATGATAATCTGACAATCTATGTTGAGTGCTCAGCTGGCTTATACCACAAAGCAATAGGTCAGAAGAAAGTATACTTAGGTTGGCAAAGGTACTCAATATATGAAGACCTAAGTATACAGAGATGTTTTGCCTGTCAAGGATTCTTCCACAAAAACATTAACTGTGATAAACCTATAGCATGTGCAAATTGTAGTGGAGAGCATGATGTTAATGAATGTGAATCGAATACAAAAAAGTGCAAAAACTGTTCAACAGCAAATAGAAACTACTCCATCAACTACGACACTAATCACTCTGCAAATGATATCAGTTGCCCTTCCTACCAATACCATATGAACTGTCTAAGAAATAAAATAGATTACGGTTCATAATGGTTCAAACAGACCAAGAAATAATACTAGATGACCTTGAAAGAATTGTGATGGGAAGTATAGGACAACTGATTGAACTGGAGACATTACATAAAAATATACATGAAACTAAGAAAAAACTAAATATTCTCCAATTAAATATTAGAAGTGCCAAGGAAAACTTTGATAAATTCCTGCTGCTGATTAAACAAGGTAAACTAACTTACTGTGATATTTTTATTCTAACTGAAAGCTTTAAAATCTCTACTCCAGAACTTTTTAATATCGATGGGTACAATACTTACTATAATTATGGCGATTATAACAAGAATGATGGAATACTCATTCTAATTAGAACAAATATAAATCCTATTGTTTCTCACCAAAAAGTCGAAAAATCAGAAATAATGATAAGTAGAATTACTTTTAAACTAAATGGAGAGACTTATGGAATAACAGCGATTTATAAATCCCCTCAAGTAAATAACGGTAATTTCTTTCAGGATCTGAATGAATATTTCTCCAATAATACAAACAATAATATTGAAATCTTCACAGGTGACATTAACATAAACATCAAGGCTATAAATGATGCAACTGTTAATGAATATTTATGTCTCATGGGAAATTATGGCTTCTTGCCTTATATACAATCAACAACAAGATATAATACAAATTCCTGTATTGATCATTTTTTTATAAACAATAAAATACAACACCTCAACATGGACTCATATATCTTAGATACCTATATAACAGATCACTATCCAATAATGATAAACATACATAATAACTCAGAAGATAACAAAATGACTAGCAAGCAAACAACAACAATAAGCCGAATTAACTATGACCTTCTTCAAGAATGCCTAACAACCTGCGATTGGACTGAGGTACTTCGGTCGAATAACCCTGACACCTCTGTTGACTTTTTCGTGACAATGATTCTTGACTGCATTGAGAAGTCCAAAACTACTAAAACTATAAAACAAGCGCACAAAAAATGTAAAGAATGGATAACCAACGGACTCATAACATCAATAAAGAAAAGAGATAAAATAAAAAAGAAATTAATAAAAAATTATGACCCTGACTTGGAACAATATTATAAAAATTATAGAAATAGCTTAAACAAATTAATTAAGAAAGTAAAATATGACTTCTATAAGAAAGAAATAGTAGGTAGCAATAATAATATCAGAAAAATTTTCCAAATAATAAATAAAGTGACAGGAACTAATGCCATTAAAACACAAACAAAAAAAATTTTAAATGAAAAAAATGAAGAATTCGAAAATAATATTGACATGGCTAATTTCTGCAACAACCATTACATAAATGTTGGTGCTGAACTAGAGAAGCAAATAAAAATTCCAGAGCGACCTTATCGTTTGGATTTCTCAGATAATGTGAACGCGTCCATGTATTTGAGACCGATAACAGACTCAGAACTCATTAAACATATTTCATCCCTAAAATCAAATAGTGCCCCTGGTATGGATGGAATTTCCAGTAAATTAATAAAACTCATACATCCACATATAATCACACCTTTAAAACACATCATAAATCTAATATTTGAAAGGGGTACTGTTCCACATCATTTCAAAACCTCCCTAATAACACCAATCTACAAGAATGGTCAAATCAATAGAATAGAAAATTATCGACCCATCAGCCTCATTAATAACTTGACAAAAATTTTTGAAAAGGCACTAAAGGACAGACTGGTAAATTTTTTAAAAATAAATAACATCCCATCTAATAAACAGTATGGGTTCACAGAGGGAATCAGTACCTCTGATGCTATTCAGCATCTTACATCAGAAATAACGAAGAGTATGGACAATAGTGAAAAGACAATAGTAGTATTTATGGACCTCGCTAAGGCCTTCGATACAGTGCCTCATAAACAACTTCTCAGCGTCCTGGAACATTATGGAGTAAGGGGAATGGCCCTTGATGTCTTCCGCAGCTACCTCTCAAACCGATACCAGCACACGAAAGTAGACAACACTATAAGTTCGCCACAAATAATAAAAACGGGAGTTCCCCAAGGAACCATACTGGGGCCAATACTGTTTCTAACCTATATAAACTCACTCCTAAATATACAACTGGAAGGGGAGGTAATTTCCTATGCAGACGACACAGCATTGATCTTTAAGGGGGCGTCCTGGGAGGAAACCAGGCAGAAAGTCATCAGGGGATTCAACATTGTTAAAAACTGGCTGGAAAGCTTCAAGCTCTCATTGAACCTACAGAAAACAAACTACATTGCATTTTCCCCAGTAAATAAAAATAGACCAAACTTTGAAAAAATTTTCATAAATAAAAATGAATCTATTGATTCTTGTGGAAAAATGAAATATTTGGGGATTGTGATCGACCAACACCTTAAATGGACACATCATATCAGCCATGTTGTATCAAAGGTCAGAAAACTTATATATAAATTTTACATTTTACGCGAAATCCTTGATGAGAAGCTATCAATATTGATCTATAAATCACTAGTTGAATCATTGTTACGTTATGGTATTACAGCATGGGGTGCTGCTTACAAAACTACCTTAATACCTTTACAAGTTGTTCAAAATTATGTATTGAAAGTTATCTTCAACAAAAATAAACTCTACCCCACAAAACAATTATATAACGAAAATATTTTTAATATTCAGCAACTGTATATTTTGTCAACTTGCGTTTACATGTACAAAAATAATAAATCAAAATTACTTATAGCTTATAAGCATAATACACGTAATAAAACGAATAAAAACGTAACTATACAAAAGAGCCAAAAGACATTGAGTCTTAAGTTTCTACAAAACTGTGCTTCAAAATTCTACAACCTATTGCCATTGAAAATTAAGGATATACCTAGTCTTAAAGAATTCAAAAAAAGTTGTAAAGAATATATATTTAAGAATTACAAAAGTTTTCAAAATCAGTGTATTTAGGGATAACTATAAGATGTTTCACCTACAGTCTACAAAATCTTTAAACTGTTTAAACCTGCCCTTATCTCTAATGAATTAGGGTACTGCTAGGCCAAAATTTTATACATGATACCTCATTCATTATCATTATCAACTACTTATACCTACCATTAAACGTGGCACATGCAGGCATTCTCATGCCTAGGTGCCATAATAAAAAATTATTAGATTATAGAAATATTACTGTGAATTGTACTGTTGTTATGTATGCTGAAATATTGAATAAATTATTATTATTATTATTATTATTAATTATTATTATTATTATCATAAACAAAAAAGTTATGGAAGTTTCTCTTCCCATCCCAGTTTGCTCAAAATCCAGAATCGCCTTTCAGCGGCTAAACGATTGAAGATATCAAAATGCGGTTTGCACCGATCAAGATTTCATGAAATTTGAGCTTCAGAGTGGGGGGGGATAATTTTTTTGTATTTCACAGAAATTAATGTTTCCTATCCAAAGTGTCCAAATTGGCCTACCCTGTACTGTAATAATTTTCTATTCATCTGGGAAATAGTACTAAATCTTAGAGCTTTAACTTTTCCTCATATCCCTTTGGCATATTATGCCACACAATATAGTAATTATAATTGATCAAATTTAGCATGGAATAGATATGGAAGAAAAGTTTTATTGAACAATATGAAATATTTAGAACAAATACAACAATACAATAATTCTTTGTGATTGAAATACCTATTTGCTCAAAAATTATGTACTTAATGTAAATAACTATTTATTATAGATTTTGGAGTTGGATAAAATCAAAACACATCACTGGAAAATCGTGCAGTGCAGTGCAGTAACTGGGGAGAATCTATTGGAAGGAATCGACTGGCTTATTGGTGACATTGCAGCAAGAATTTTCACTTTGGATTAAAATATTTAATAAGACTGTGATTAATATAATTAATTTTTTATTGCTTTTAAAAAAAATATAACTCGACTTTAATGGCTGTCCATAAATTGTAGTTCAGAAAGCACTAAAATATGATTTGGCAAAGGTTTCGGTTGAGGCGATAATACTGAAATTGTTTGTCTATCTGTATCCACATTTGTACTAAAAAAAAAATATAATATGTATTTGTTATTACAAGTTTTCTATTAAAAATTTACTTACACACAAATAAATCCTATTACATGAGATAAAATAACCTCATCGTCTGGCTTTTCTGCAAAACTAACTGCCAGTATATGATGAAGTATACCAACATTCGGTGTTAGAGGTACCAACTTCGTTAAGTTGTCTCCTGGTTTCATACCTGAAGAAAAAAAAAGTGTAGATATAATTGGCAATTTATTCGACTTTCTTAGCCATTCAATGAAAATACAAAATAATGAGATTCTCACCATGTGGTAAACAGGAGTCGGGCAATGGTGGAGCCCCAATTTTAAACAATTTAATTTCAGACCATTTCAAATCAAACGGATGAGGGTAGAGTTGGTTTTTTGGCGTTCCGTAAAAATATTCTCTTATTCTTTGATCTCGGTTTTCACTGCGTGTGCTTTTTGAAATTTCCACAACCTGTAACAAATATGCTAATTAGAATTTACGCTATTGTCCACACTCATGTATGTAGGATGTAAGTTGGGTATATCTTTTTGGTGATATACTTTGGGGTGTCGATGGTTAAGTGGGAGAATAGCCGATGATAAAACTTCGCCATCCACACCCTAGATGTGCATATTAGACTTTTTAAATAATGTAATGTATGGCATTCGATAAATAAAGACTATATTTATTTATTTATTTAGAAAATTATTGTTAGTAAGAAAAGAATGACATAAATTCATTAAAACAAAAATCCTATTGTTTATAGAGACTTTGAGTGAAGGTGAAATTAAAAAAATCATTACACTTACTCCGCCACTTTTTTGCAAAAACACAACGTTAACATAACTGGGCATATCTCGAACCAATTCGTTGTACAACCTTTCTTGATCCAAAACCATAATGACATCAACTTCAAAAGCTTCTCCTGCTTGAAGTATTTGTTTGTAGCCTTCATTTTTTATCCAGCCGCAAGTATTAATTATCACTCCAGAATGTTTAGCTATAAATCACAAACAAAATTGAAAAATATTATAGTTTTATAAACTTGAACTTACTTCTTTTATTGATTTCTAATCTTTCCTTCAAAGTGGTCGCCAGTTGATTGGTAATCATACCATATAATTTCGAGTTAGTTCCAGGACTTTTATGACCAAAATTATAAACCAAAGGTGCCTCTTGAGAAAACCCTTCATCAATTGAGGCAGGGCGTTCTATCACTAACGCTCCAACTGTACCAGGAATAGAAATATTCCCTTGTCCGACATCCAAATCAACAAAAATAGGCCTGCGTCCCATTCTAACAGCATAGTTGAGTAATATTCTACACAAAGTAGATTTTCCTACGTCGGTAGGTCCTACTACCATAGCAATTGGGCCTCGTTTGTTGTTCTTTTCATTTACACTACGCATAATTTCTAAAGCTGCATGACAATTCGAGTAAACCACCATAGGGGTTTCTTTTGCAATATAAATAACATCAGTTTTGCCTTTGACTTCAATCGTGCACCCTTGCCAGGTGAAAACGGCAACTTTAGCCCCAGCGGTGAATTCGTAGGTTTTAGCTTTGACTAATTCCGTGCCGAAAATTTCTGCGAGACCGTTTTTGAGGGTGAGATACACTTTTTCTCCTTTGGTTTCCACTTCGAATCTCAATTCGTTATCACTCTCTAGTTTGTATTCTTGGAGCACTGATTTTTTGTCTTCACTCATGATTGTTTAATAAATTATTAGTAAAAATACTTGGTGGGCTTCTCAAATAGCTGCGGTGATTGCAATCACAAACCCAAACCTGCAATTAATTTCTATAATTAGGTATTGAATTTTAATCAAATCAAATGAAAATGTGCTTTATTGCTGAGAAAAACCACTTATTATTTGTTGAGAAAGCATGTTAACTAAAATCAAAATCTAAACAATTATAGAAAGTACATATTCCTATGTAATTTTGTAATTATATTTAAAAAATACCTACCAACAAATTAAATTATCAAAAAAGTGAACAGAAATCTAAAATAATGAAAATCATTATTATTAAAACAGAATTTACATTAAATAATCTATTTGATAATAATATCAATAATGAACACCATGAAAAAATTATTTAATAAATAGGTATAAGTCGAGGTATAAGAAGGGTATAAGTACCTACTTCACAAGTTTGAGAGAAAGTTTGCTCCCTAAGGGCCAAATTATGGACCAACTGGTAAGTGTCTGGTTGTTACCTAGCAGGTACTTTCTATTCTCTAGTACGCCTTAACCAGACGTTTACCAGTCAGTCCATAATTTGGCCCTAAAGTAAGTTATTATTTCAATAATTCGGAGTAACACCCCAGTGCAGAATTCAAGTTTAAACTAAAAAATTGAGGTCATGCATAATTTGCTGACCAAGGTACGAAATGTGCTGCCAAACCTGAAGTCTGTTTTTCCTCATAAATCTCTCTAATACTGACAGGCAAATGGTGGAACAGTTGACGTCCATTAAAAACAATAGAGTACTTGGGTGGTTCTAGGAACAGGTAACAACATTTTATGTTTGACTGGTGGCATAAGATGACGAATTTTGGTTCAATGTGTTTTTATACTTTTTATGAATTAGAGATACCGTTTCAAGAATAAACAAACATGGTAAGTAATGTTAAAATATTGTTAGCAATAAAAAGCGGTTTGTATGAATCCCTCAAATTGGCCCTGTTCATGTATCTGATTGTTTTTTTTTTTTGCAAGATAAATACTGTATGCATTAGCTGTTTAGCACAAGAACCCCAAAAACATATTCCATAACGTAGATGGGATTCTATTAATGCAAAATATGCTCGTCTCGTAATATTTTCATCTAATTCACTTGAAATTATTTTAAAGCATAACAATTTGATGCCAACTTTTTATTTAGGTTTGCAATGTGGTATTCAAATTTCAATCTACCATCTATATGCAAACCTAAGAACTTACTTTGGGGTGTGCCACTTAATATCTGATTTTCCAAATAAACTGGTGCCAGATTACATTTAAAAGAAATAATATTAGTTTTGGAAATATTTAGACACAGTTTATTTGAATCGCACCAGCTCTTTATTAAGGACAGGTTGTGGTTAATGGTTTCAGCCAAAATATGTTCATCTGTACCACTCCAGAGAATTGTTGCATCATCTGCAAACACTGTAAAGCTCCCAGAAATGTTAAGGTTTACAATATCATTAATATACAGTAAAAAGAAAATTGGTCCCAGAACCGAACCCTGAAGCACTCCACTATTTAGAGTCTGTTGGTTTGATTTTATCACATTATGAGATACAGACTGGACTCTATTGGTCAAATATGATTCAATCCAACTTAGTCCTTTACCCCTAAATCCATAAATCTCCAGTTTACGCAGCAATATCTTGTGACTCACAAAATCGAAAGCTTTTGTCAAGTCACAAAACATTGCCACTGCAACCTGTCGATCGTTCATCCTCATGTAAAGATCCTCCAGGTGGATCTTTTTTCTAGGAAGCCAAATTGCACTGTGGTCAAGATATTTTTTTTCCTCAAAAAATTAGGGATTTGCCTTCTAACTATTTTTTCCACAACTTTAGATAAAGTTGGTAGCATTGCCACTGGTCTGTAGTTTGAGGGACTTTCCTCATTTCCACCCTTGTGTAACGGGACAATATTAGCGATCTTTAAACAGTGGGGAAAAACACCTGTAGTAAAAGAGAGGTTCATAGCTTCTGCTAGAATCCTAAATGCATTCTCAGGAAGTTTGTTGAATGTTTTAGAGGAAAGGCGTCCCACTCAGGCGCCCTGTTACCCTTTAGTTCTAAAGTTGTTTCCCTAATTTTGTGTTCATTGGTGGGTACAAAAAAGAATGTTTCAGTTATATTTATATGATTTAGGAAGTTTTCAAAATTCAAATTACTGTCACGGCTTTGGGTTGCCTGACAGAAATCTTGGGTTCGTTTCGTTTATTCCAAAAATCAAAGTCCAATTAACACAGCAATAATTTATTCCACTTAAACAATACGCTCTGACAGTAATTACTTTAATAACTAACTCAACAATTAAACTCTTACAACTCGCAATAATCACTATTTAAATCGTATAACAGTCAAACTGAAACTTAACCTACAAACTAGTACAAACCAATGCCGGCCTTCTTATATATTCCTAAATCTATTCCTGTAAAATCTAGAATACACACGAAAATCTTATTTTCCCTAGTAAACTAGAATAATTCCCTAGATTCAAGAGGGAATGCCACAGATTCTTGACAGCCTGGCGAACGCCACATTGCCCTCCTCTTAAGGTTGATCGTCCCGATCAACTTCACGCCCATGATATTTCGTTAACCTGTCCAGATGTACAACTTTCATCTTACTCTTGGTGTTGCGTTGAACTCGATAAACCAAATCATTGATCCTCTTGATTACTTTGTAGGGTCCTTCCCCCGAAGATAACTTCGGCGACACTCCTTTCTTTCTTGCTGGATTATACAACTACACTAAATCACCTTCTTGAAATCCGGCCGAATTGGCTTTCAAGTCGTATCTGGTTTTCATTCGGTCACTGGCTAGCTGAATGTGTTCCCGAGTAAGTTCGTGTATTCCCAGAACTCGTGCCCTTACTTCGTCGGCATAATCTCGGATTTCTCTCCGTTCTTCTTCAGGTATCCCAAACATCAAATCGCAAGGTAACCGGAGTTCTCTTCCAAAGACGATTCTGGCTGGACTTTCACCTGTTGTTCGTGAACAGCTGCTCTGTAAGCCATTAAAAATAGAGGCAAGTGTTTGTCCCAATCACGCTGGTTCCTTGCGACCACTTTTGTTAGATGCTCCTCTATGGTCTTATTAAATCGTTCTACCATGCCATCAGACTGCGGATGTAAAGGTGTTGTCCTGGTCTTACGGATTCCCATGATCTCACAAATTTTCTTAAAGATGGCAGATTCGAAGTTTCGTCCCTGGTCTGAATGTACCTAACTCTAGTGGCACACCATGACGACTAAAAACTTCGTCCACTAGCACCTGGGCAACAGTGATGGCTTCTTGATTGGGAATAGCGAAAACTTCTGGCCATTTACTGAAGTAATCCATGATAACTAAGATGTATTTGTTACCACGCTCTGACTCTGGGAACGGTCCTGCTACATCTCAGCTCCTTCTATGGTTTGGAATATCTTCTGCAGTTTTCCAAGGTCTTCTTGCCGTTCTTGTTGTCGTCTAGCTTCTTCTTCTTGTTTTTCTTTTTGTCGCCTGAGTTCTTCGTCTTGTTTTTTTTTTTCGTCTGGCCTCTTCGTGTTGTCGTCTAGCTTCTTTGTCTTGCTTTTCTTGTTGTCGTTTGGTCTCTTGAAGTTCCAACATTTTACGCAGAAATTCTTCAACTTTTTGTTCATTCATTTTGGCTTGTTGTCTTGTGATGCGCATGTACAGAATGTTCTAGAATTTCCCTCGAACTTTCTTCAAATATCTTTTCTGGTCTTTGCTCGAAGTTCCAAACACGCCGGTGAAGTCACAAATTGGATAACTTGCTTTATTCTAGAATAGAATGTTCTGGAACTTTCCTGAAACCTCCCCTCTAGATGTCGATTGATACAGCAAACACGCCGGTGAAGTCACAATTCCGATATCTCCCTTAGTTTCCAAATAGAATTTTCTAGAACTCACTCGAAGATTCACTACACAGTCAAAATCGGGTACAGAGAGTACCGGAGTAATTTACACGATCGGTTAAGTCTCTTTTTGTGATTGTCACTGTTTGCTCTGAATAACTGTCCCAGTTTTCACTTATTGTTCAGTTTTTACACTACACTAGTGTCCCCGCACTTCCGCAATTGGATTTCACTCTGCAGTCCTTTATGTCTCACTTCTGGCACCAATTGTCACGGCTTTGGGTTGCCTGACAGAAATCTTGGGTTCGTTTCGTTTATTCTAAAAATCAAAGTCCAATTAACACAGCAATAATTTATTCCACTTAACAATACACTCTGACACTAATTACTTTAATAACTAACTCAACAATTAAACTCTTACAACTCGCAATAATCACTATTTAAATCGTATCACAGTCAAACTGAAACTTAACTTACAAACCAATGCCGGCCTTCTTATATATTCCTAAATCTATTCCTGTAAAATCTAGAATACACACGAAAATCTTATTTTCCCTATTAAACTAGAATAATTCGCTAGATTCTAGTATATTCAAGAGGGAATGCCAAAGATTCTTGACAGCCTGGCGAACGCCACATTACTTTTTATGAGGCTTGATAAATGGGTGGCTATATTGCAATAAAAGTTATTTAAATCAGTAGCGTTTAATTTGGAATCCAAACATTCTTTGAAACACTTATTATCTCCTTGAAGTTCGTTTACAATTTGCCAAGCTGTCTTTTGCTGGTTAGAAGAAGACGCAATTCTCTTTACATAATAAAGTTGCTTAGCTGCCTTTATAATTCTACAATATATTGATCTATACTTATTGAAATAATTTGCAAAAAATTGATTACACATATTGAATTTTCTTATATAGTGGAGACATCTTAAATTTTTTGCTGAAACTCTTATTCCTTTAGTAATCCAACTTTTGTTTGTTTTTTGTTTTGAACGTTTTAAAGGAAAACTTGCATTGGAAATTACAGCTAAAACAGAGTGGAAACCTGCCACTGCTGGATCTGCAGAGCTTAACACATCACCCCAGGTTTCCAAAGAAGCAAGCTGCGCGAACCTATCATAATTTTTTCTCATGAATAATCTACCCCACCTTTTTGCCCCTTCTCTCTTTTTTATTTATTGCAAAACTACACCATACCGC